GACCTCAACCTCCTGCAATAAGTGCAGAGTTTGACAAAGTAACTTATTTTGGAGTACAGCTTTTAGAATTTCTAATTAAGTAGGGCTAGTAATGCTGTTTTGGGGTTTCAGGGAACTATAGTTCAAAAACCTAATTTTGCCATGTTACACCACTGGTAGAAACACAAAAGGGGAAATAGACTTTTTATAGGACAGAGTTGGAGCCATTTCCTGATACAGAGATGTTCCTGATCAGCAAGAAACTGCAGAAGATGATTTATAGAATTTTAATACGTGAAATGTTCAAGATTTTTTGGAATCATCAAATGTGTTGTTTACTGTTATTCTTGTTCTGAGACTGGATACTTATCAGGAAGATCTGTGAGGATATGCCGATTATATATGTGGAGATATTTGCATGTGAGAAAGACAGCACAGTTAGACCCTCTTGCTTCTGACCTATTGGGTAGCTCTACAAATGCAGGGAGATTTTGATGTGAAGGAATATTTTGTCATGTGATCTCCCATTTGCATCTTGAAGTAGTACAATTCAAGAAAACAGTAAGTGTATTGCTTTGCCTTGAGGTAGGTGTGTCAAGTGGTTAGGGCAGAGTAGTAATTTGCTTGTTCTTTTTCATTTAGCAAATTAAATTCTATGTCTGCATCTTCCTATTAAAACAAGCAAGATAGCAGCCCCAACAATGACTAGATAGGATACTTTTGTTGTGCCATGAACATTGAAGCTGAAATGAATTGGTTGTCTCTCCTCCTAAACCCCACACCTGCTAGTGGCACTGTTCCCCCAGGTTGCTCATCTCTCCACATTCTCACTCCAGCATGCTCAACTTTCATATTATTGGTTTAACATTCACCCTTCCCACAGAAGAGCCACTGCATATTTGACATCATAGGAAGCTTTGTTCCTGCTAGAATCAAATTAGAGACATTTCTTGAGGAAATCAAATGATCCCTCTGAGTGGGAATGGGGTGGGTTTTGAAAAATATTCTTCCAGGTTTCCCTTTCCATACAAGGGTTTTGGGCAGTGGTTCTCAACCTGTGGGTCCCCTGGTGTTTTGGCCTACAACTCCCAGAAATCTCAGCCAGTTTACCAGCTGTTACGATTTCTGGGAGTTGAAGGTCAAAACATCTGGGGACCCACAGATTGAGAACCAGTGGTTTAGGGGAATTCCATCCAGATACTAGGAGGCCCATCTGGATCCATATCTGGGTGTTCTCCATTGCCTGAGCATCTGTAAATGTTCTAGTATTGTTGTGTGTAAAATAAATTTGTGCTCTGTAAGGCTCAACCCTCGAACTGGTCTTCTGGTTGTTGATTGCAGTTAGTCAATGGGTCTTAAAGGGATGTGGACTTCCTATATATTCATGGGTCCAGAAATCCAAACATTCCTCCAACCTGACCTGCAGCAGTTGATGCTGCTTCTATCCCATGCATCAGTGACATTATAAATGCCAATAAAAACATAGATGTAATTCTCCAGTATGCAACCTCATGGAAGCAATAAAATTAAATCAAATAGCAAAAAGGAAAATGTTAATCTTAACTGCTGTTTCTCTCTTGGTGAATAGAAACCGGGCTCTGTGATCCTTGTAGGACACCAGGAATCCCACTGCTGGGGGATAGGTTGGGTGGAAAAGAGGCAAGCAGGGAATGCCCATTGCCATGGGAATGGTGTCATGACAGGCTGTTTTGCTCCCTTTCACAGCATGTGTGGGATTAGAAAAGAGTACAAGCATTTGTAGCTGTGCTTGCCCGTGCCGCGTTGAATGTCTCATATGCCTACACACAGTTACGTGCCCTTCACTCACACACAATGTGCTGTCACACATTTCTTCCTTACGTCAGCATATACACAATGTCTTGCACTTTCACACATGTGCAATTTGTCATGCACATGCACGTGTTATTTAACAGATAATTGGAGCAACTGATTAAATGCCACCCCTTGGGACTGGATTTAACTAGCTTGAACTGGCAAATTAGCTCCTTTGCATTACAAAGCATCTTGGATGCCATGATCTTGCTGCCTTTAATCTTTTTATTGTGTATTGGCATGTCTTTTCTTCCTTTTTACTACGAAATTAAATTTTTACTACTTCTATTGTCTCATCTCTACTTTAATCTTTTGAAAGCCAGTGTCTCCCTTATTGAAATGGAATTGCTGTTCAGTCTTTCGGCATAAAGCAAGGGCTTTCTCTCTGTCTCTCTTATCACCAGCTTGTCTATTTATTCCACATTGTAGTAGTTGTGCCATTTCCACCACCTTTTATGTTTCAGGATACTTGAATGGTAAAAATATTCTTCTCCTATAGGTCAATGTCAGGCACCTTTGTCAGTGCTCCTGCTGTCAAGATGCTGTGGCCCTGTGTTCACTATGCATGAGGGCAGCCATTGAATGTGACTTACCCTTCATAAATAATTGCATTTGCTGAAAGTCACCATAGCTCTTTCTTGCAGCCAATGGAAATTATTGCTTTTCAGCAAATATTTTTTGTTGAACAGCAAGTGTATCACAGGGTGCAGTTGACTCAGATAGAGATGCAAACTTTGGGTTGCTCCACATCATTTTGCTTGTTGTTGTTTATTTGTTCAGTCACTTCCGACTTTTTGTGACCTCATGGACCAGCCCATGCCAGAGCTCCCTGTTGGCCGACACCACCCCCAGCTCCTTCAAGGTCAAGCCAGTCACTTCCAGGATACCATCCATCCATCTTGTCCTTGGTCGGCCCCTCTTCCTTTTTCCTTCCATTTTCCCCAGCATCATTGTCTTCTCCAAGCTTTCCCTGTCTTCTCATTATGTGGCCAAAATACTTCATCTTTTCTTCTAATATCCTTCACTCAAGTAAGCAGCTGGGTATTATTTCCTAGAGGATGCACTGTTTGGATCTTGCAGTCCAAGGCACTCTCAGAATTGTCCTTGAACACCACAGTTCAAAAGCATCTATCTTCCTTTACTCAGCTTTCTTTATGATCCAGCTCTCACATCCATAGATTACTATGGCGAATACCATTGCTTTAACTATGTGGACCTTCGTTGCCAGTGTGATCTGTTGTTGTTGTTCATTCGTTCAGTCGTCTCCGACTCTTCGTGACCTCATGTACCAGCCTACGCCAGAGCTCCCTGTCGGCCGTCACCACCCCCAGCTCCTTCAAGGTCAGTCCAGTCACTTCAAGGATGCCATCCATCCATCTTGCCCTTGGTCGGCCCCTCTTCCTTTTGCCTTCCACTTTCCCCAGCATAATTGTCTTCTCTAGGCTTTCCTGTCTCCTCATTATGTGGCCAAAGTACTTCAACTTTGTCTCTAGTATCTTTCCCTCCAGTGAGCAGTCGGGCTTTATTTCCTGGAGGATGGACTGGTTGGATCTTCTCGCAGTCCAAGGCACTCTCAGCACTTTCCTCCAGCACCATAGCTCAAAAGCATTCGATCTTCCTTCGCTCAGCCTTCCCTAAGGTCCAGCTCTCACATCCGTAGGTTACTACAGGGAATACCATGGCTTTGACTAGGCGGATCTTTGTTGCCAGTCTGATGTCTCTACTCTTCACTATTTTATCGAGACTGGACATTGCTCTCCACCCAAGAAGTAAGCGTCTTCTGATTTCCTGGCTACAGTCTGCATCTGCAGTAATCTTTGCACCTAGAAATACAAAGTCTGTCACGGCCTCCACGGTTTCTCCCTCTATTTTCCAGTTGTCAATAATTCTTGTTGACATAATCTTGGTTTTTTTGACGTTTAGCTGCAACCCGGCTTTTGCGCTTTCTTCTTTCACCTTGATTAGAAGGCTCCAGTGAAAGCACTCAAATCCAGCTAATATTGTGGCAATACTACTGTTAAGACAAAAAAAAAGCACAACAGATGCTACAATAAGTTTCAAAGATCTCTGTCTTCTTCATGAGGCACATATAGTTTAAAAGAACACAGGGCTGGTTATGTGATGGCTTTTCTTTTGAGGTGTTACTGAGAAGGGTCTCTCTGGCAAACATGACAATAGGAGCCAAAATGGATTGCTTTACCTTGTGATGAAGAGAGCAAACCCACTGAAAATCAAACCCCAGTGAAAGATGACAGAACATCTAGTTTCTTTAATCCAGGCTTCTTCTGTACAGTGGCTCTGTTTAATACTGTATATTCAAATTTTAAAAAGTTATTTTGGGATGTGAAGACACCCTATGCTGCTCTTTCTGCCATAACAGTTAACATACCATAAAAAAGTCAATATAATTTTCTGTCCTTTCATGGCCACTAAACAATGCTGTCTTGGAAAACTGCATTGCTCATTGGAGACCAGGGTTCAAATCCTTGCTTTGCCATGGAAACCAAATTTTGTAGGACCAGAAGGGTTGATGGAAGAGGGGTGCAGTTAGCTTTACTCAGGATCTTTTTGTGGTAAAACAGCAGTACCCACCATCCTTATTTTATGTGGATAAACCCCACACCATAAAACTGCAAGTGGAAATGTCCAATACTAAACCAGGTCCTATTCATGTGTATGTGTGCCAAAGTTGGATTGGGTGTGCAGGCAAGAGCCTGGCAACCCATAGAGACATCCTTCCTGTAATGCATGCAAGATTCAAACTGTAACAATGAGGACAATAAAATAGGTTTAGGGGGGTAGGCTTTCTGAGTCTAATCCTGCTTCCAGGAGTTGGGAAGATGTCAATGGAAAGATTGAAAACATGGGACTTTTCTTTGAGGTAGAGAAGGTTTGATCTCTTGTTTGGAACAGGGGAAAGTGTAAGTGTGTGGGTTGTGTGTGTTGAGGCAGGAGGGTGAAAGCAAGAGCATGTCACGGACTCAGAACTTTTGGTATTAATGTTGAGTTTGCCAGATGGGAACAAAAAACGCTCGGCAAAATAAAATATAGTCTGTAGATTGATTGCTTTGCTCCCCGCCTCCCTTCAGTGAGATGCTCCTCTTTAAAAAGACAAAAATAAAAAGTTTGTAATCAGTTTCCCCTGCACTTTTCTTTCTCAAGTTTTTCTTTTGCTTGTTTTCCTACAGACGGTACTCCACTAAGTGAGCTTTCCTGGTCCTCCTCTCTGGTGGTTGTGGCCGTTTCCTTCTCTGGGCTCTTCACCTTCATCTTCCTCATGTTGGCCTGTTTGTGCTGCAAGAAGGGGGGCATTGGCTTCAAGGTAAGCACTGTAGGAGGCCCATGATGACCCTGGGGGTGCTAGAAGAAATGGTGTTTGGTGGAGAGAGAGCAAGAGGAAGTGATACGTTCTTATCTCGGGAGTCAGTGCAAACTCCAATGTATACAGAAATGCTTTGCCACAAGAAAAGAGAGTGAGAGGTTCCTCACAGATACAGTGTGAGGAACTTTGAGCTGTCAGACTGGAAGGATCACCTCAGGTAGCCAGCTAGGAGGGAGAGATGGGAAAATATTTGTGGACAGGGTCTATGTTTGGAGACTAGGGTTCAAGTCCCTTCTTGGCTATGGAAGCCCACTGGGTAACATTGGGTGAGTCTTATACCCTGAGCTCCAGAAAAACCTGTGATGTGATCTAAGGGTCACTATAAGTCAGAAACAACTGGAAAGGGAACAATATCAAACAGCTCCACAAATTTTCCCTGCCAGAATATTTTCTGGGTCATGCCATGGGTACTTCAGAAATTATAAGCAACAAGTATAATTACATTCTAGCTGAGGGCGAGGGGTGAGGGTGCTAAACAACAAGGAAATCACTGAGCCAAGGATAAGATATGGGACTGGTCCTTGCTTTTTTTTCAGCTGGAGATGAGACTGTTCTATATGCAAAATACATTCTCAATAGTCTGTCCTCCAAAGGGTTGTTAAACACAGAAGCTGTAGGATCCTGTGGGCAAAGAGGAGGGCATATGGAAGAGGTGACCTTTTACTAGTTTATTTGGGCATGGTGCCAAGATGCAGACGTGATCTGGATTCAAGTGACCTTTATGAGGTAGGGAAAGTGTTGTTCTGCATATTAGGTGGGTGGGCATATCTTGCTGGTTTCTGATGCAGAAATTGCAGGGAGAGTGGAGGTTCAGGAAAGAAATGAGGAGCTCATTAGGGTGGACAAGTTGATATCACCATTATCAGCATACTATCAAGATTTACCTTAGTGTACCATAAGTCATAAATTATCCAAACATAAAAGGAAATAATGATCAGAAGGCATGAACAGACAAATGAAGATGAGGAAATGTCAATCACATCACTCAGAATTATTTACGTTGAGACATATTTTTGTGTCAGGTGATTCAACTTTGAGGGCAAACAAATAATTGTTGTTGAAAGTTGGTGCCTAGGGTCAACCTTAGTACAATGCTTCAGAAGCATCTTTCAAAATGGACAACAGTTAGGGTCTTTTATAAATGTTCTGATGTCCTAGCATGGAGCACGAAGGTGCTGCATGATCTGGGTTGTATGTTAGCCCAATAGCGATTACTGGGGTGAGGCAGCCCCCTTGTTCCAAGGCAGGTGTCTGGGCTTAATCTGTAGACCAGGCCTGTACAGCCTGTGGCCCTTCAGGTGTCTTGGACTGCAGCTCCCAGAATTCTTGGACATCACAAAAGCTGGCTATAGTTTCTGGGAGTTGGAGACCCAAACACCTAGAAGGCCAGAGGTTGTGCGGGTATGTAGTAGATCATACAGCAGTAGCGATTCAGGAGCACCCACTCTTTCTTGCTTCTTTCCAGAGATGGTACATTTGAGGGCTGTTGTGTCTCATTTTAAAGCTCTTGTGCTTGCTAGGATCCTTCCCTAGGCTTAGCTTGACTTGTCTTGGCTGTAGTCTGCCCTGGAATGGCCCACAAGGGAGTGGGCAGTAACATTGACCTCAGAGGCACAGAATGTGCTGGAGAAATGTATGCCCTCATTGCTAAGATTCTTGTGGAGGCTCTTGGCAGCCAGGCCATGGAGGATGTGAGGTGTTGAAGCTGGAGTTACCAACAACCCTGTGGGTTAATGACTTTAGGCACTGGTCAAGTTTTGTTGTGGGAACAATGAAGCCCTTCAGGACATTCTCCCCCCACGCTGCCTATATAGGGGCTGAGCAAAGGTTGGTGAGTAGTCCTCTATACCTTTTCCCATGGAAATGCCACAGCTGAAGCATTGCAGGGCACAGGATGCATGACGGTGATGCTCACACTTTCTTACCTGATTGCCGGGGCAGCCTTCAGTGGGAAAAAATGCCTTCAGGTAAACAGAAATGTCTGCTGAGTTGCTGACTGCCTCCTGCAGAAAGTGCATGGGATGGGGGAGTGGGGCTTGCAGAAACTTCAGAAAAGGGGGTAGGGGTGATGGTGAGTGGTATATCAGTGTGGGTGGGTGGGCAGACTCATTGGGGGTGCATCTAACATGTGGATGATCGCTGGGGGAACAGAACACTTCCGGATGGTGCCTTGATTAACACTCTTTCTCTGGGCACTCTTGCCTAGAGCTGGAGAAGCGAATCCCGGGAGAAGAGACTGAGGATGGTTTTGAGGTGTCTGCCCTGCACGGGGGCCAGCACAGTGCCCAATACAACCTGTAATGTAGAACTGGGGAACCCCGGGCAGCCCTCCCCCTGCCCCCTGACTAAGGTGAGGCTGCTTCTCCCTTGACTGTGTTTATGACGATGTCTCTCAACTGGCGGGCAGGGCGGAAGGGGCAGAGCAGGCACGCATGCCAGTGGATGATGGCAATTGGAGAGTAGAGTCATTGCATTCAGATCCCACCAGCCACCCAGCCCAATGAGAGGAAGGACCATCACTGCCTTTCCCATACAGAACTGAGGCAGAGTTGTAGAGGGAATGGGAGCAGTAGCTTTGAACCTAAGCCTACTATGGGGGTGGCAGGGATCGGTTCCTGCACTGAATCTCTGGAGTGCCTGGGCAGGTATGGCCTCCTCAGTTCTGCTTCCACCTCATATGCCAAAAGTGTTTGCTTCTGCTGTTATTTTGTGGAATGTTTCCCACCCGCCCCCAGACAAAATTGGCATGTTGTCCAGAAACAAAGCATCTTGAAGCCCCTTCTCCACATAAAGTTTTCTGTGCACAAAAGAAAAGGAGCATGAGTGAATGAGTGAATGCATGGTTCTCTGCCTTCCCCCTCCAGATCCAGAGGAGTTTGTGTCTGAATGGGAGTGTACACATGACAGCAAGTCAGTTGAATGCTTCACATGTATTTTTGACAGGTTAAAATTATTTTGTATGGCCACAGTCCCAGGTAGCAAGTTGTTTGTGTGAATTGGTTCTCCATATGACACTTCTCCCTCACTCGGGAAAAGAATTTACTGTGGATTGGTTGGAGTCACCCCTGTTATGCATAGGTTGGTGGGAGGTAGTGACTTCCACTACATACATGCATACATACATACATACCTCCCCCCCCACACACACACACATGTTGCTGCTGCTGGGAGCCACATAGGGTGTACTTGGTTTTCAAAAAGCTCTGCTTATGCATTTGCACTAAAATCAGCCCTCTTTGAAAGATAGTCATAAAGAAATATGTTTCTTGGGCTGTTTACTATTCTTTTTGCCTGATCTGTGCAGTTGATTGAACACTTCGTAAATGAATTTTTTTTAATAATTATTAATTTTAATAGTAATTAATTTTAAAAATTATTAATTTTAATAGTAATTTCATTTCCTTGAGGGAACCCAAGAATTGTGCTTTGACATGATGAGGGAAGGCAGCACAGATTTCTTGATGCTTTTCCTTAGATTCTTAAGGAGAAGCTGTGACACAATATTGTAGTACACACACACACACACGCCCCACCCCACTTGGAATCCACAGGACCAGTATCTGTGGTTTAATTTGCCTTCATTGGACAGGTATAGACAGCCATTGCAAATGTTAACATGCTGGAGCCATGCTGGAGGACAGAGCAATGCTTAGGGGAGTTTCCTATCTACAGGGCTCCATTCTTAAAGAGGAGGGGCATTTGAGAGTTACTAATTTATATTTTAGTATGGGTGTTCATGGATTTCAGTCCACTTCAGATGCAATACAAAGTAAATCAGGCATATGAGTGAGGGGTCATTTTCTGCTTCAAATATTCACAGCTCAAATATGTGTATGAATGTATTCCTCCACTGCTTGTTTAGGGGAGGGTGACTGTGTAGGTCTGTGTGTGTGCGTGTGCTTTTTTTTGCACTTTTTTCTTCAAGGATGCAAAAGAATGAAAATATTTGCTTCTTTAATTCCATTAGGAAGACAGGAGCCCAACCATCAGTCCATCTAACTAGGTTTTATCAACAGAAACTGAAAAGTTTCTCCAAGGTTTCAGATAATGGCATATTTCCCAGCCTACCAAGATATATTAGAGATTTAATCAGAGAGCATTAGCTAGTAAAACATCTAGCCTTCCAAGAGTTTGGAGAAGGTTTGCAGGGGACTGCTGCTCCCAGAATCCCCCAAAAGGCATGGCTGAGAATTGTAATGGAAAATAAACCTTTCAGGCTAGCTGTAGGTCTGTCACTGAACTATAACCCATTCCTTAGTTATATGTTTATGTGGTGTGTGCACCAGTGGTTTGCGATGCCCTGTTTTGGGATGAGATGTGCACATTCTGTCATTGACTACCCAAGGATATGTGTCTCATAGCCTCCTCATCTATGTGTGACATGGCAATCATGACAACGGTAGTGGTGGCTGATAGACTTTATAGTAACTGGCACTTCATATGCTTTATTTTTTGATAATCTTGACATCGTAAGTAAGAATACACATGTGGTGATGTTTCCGTATTTTTTTCTCCTCATGTGTATAAAAATGTCTCCTTGCCCTGTGTTGGGCTCCTTGTCTCTCTTGCCTCCAGGAATTTGATAATGCTGAAGGAGAAGAATATGCCAGTGAATTCTCGGCCCAGGGCTCACCAGCCACACAAAATGGGCCCGAAGTCTACATTCTGCCTCTCACTGAAGTCTCCTTGCCCATGTCCAGGCAGCCTGGGCGCTCAGGTAAGCCATAAGCCTCCTTTCTTAAGGAATGTTGTCTCCCTAATTGATATTTGCAGTGATGATTTGCACACTTGCAATATATACCAAGAGCAAAATGAAGCATTAAGCTCTACTGCTGTTAATTAACCTGGAATTACCGTGTGGGTGTCCCATGCTTGCAGTAAATGAGCACCTTAACTAAGGTGAGCTAGGATATTTCTGAAAGATTACAAAAGTGTTATAGCTGATGAGTTATGTTCTGACAGAAACAACATACATTGTGGCTGTAGCTTTTTGTAGGCTAATACATTTGTTTATCTTTGAGATGGTAAGTGAAAACCCTGCTGAAAACTTTAATCATGTTATGAGTAGTAATAGTACTACAGGTTGAGCATCCCTTATCTGGAATTTGAAAATATTTCCAAGTCTGAAGTTGACCATGTGGCACTTTTGCTTCTTGATGATTCAGTATACACAAACTTTTGTTCCATGCACAAAAATATTAAATAAATTTTATATAAAATTACTTTCATGGTGTGCATTTAAAATGTATACATAAATTTTGTGTTTAGTCTCAGGTTCCATCTCTAAGATATCTCATTTTGTCCATATATGCTAATCAGTTATTCCCAAATCTAAAAACATCTAAACTCCGAAACACTTCTGGTCCCAGACATTTCAGATAAGGGATATCCAAATTGTATTAGTGTAATAAATTATTGTAATGGCCACGACTATTGCTAATTTGTTAAAGTACAATTCATGAACCTGGTGCTCTATAGAGTAACTTGAAAAGTGGAGTCAGGGCCCTGCTCTGAGGAGCTTTCGCAAAATTGACAGACACACAGAAAAGGCAAAGCTCTTCCAGATGAGATTCAGCGTTGTGCTCCTGGAGGCACTAGTTTAAAACCTGGTTATTTAAGAAAACGTATAGCTGAGAAAAGGTCAGTTCTATGGTTAAATAGATTTTTTTTTTCATATCAGGAATGACTTGAGAAACTGCAAGTTGCTTCTGGTGTGAGAGAATTGGCCATCTGCAAGGACATTGCCCAGGGGACGCATAGATGTTTTACCATCCTGTGAGAGGGTTCTCTCATGTCCCTGCATGGGAAGCTGGAGCTGACAGATGGGAGCTCACCCCACTCCCTGAATTTGAACCATCTAACTTTCAGTCAACAGTCCTGCTGGCACAAGGGATTAGCCCAGGCATCCTCAAACTGTGGCCCTGCAGCTGTTTGGGCCTCCAATTCCCAGAAGCCTTAATGAGCTTGTTCAATTGTCAGGAATTCAGGGAGCTGAAGGCCCAAATGGCTGGAGGGCCACAGTTTGAGGATTCCTGGTTTAGCACATTATGCCACCGGAGGCTCCAGATAAATTGATGTTTCCCCATTTATTATTATCTTGGTCTTACAGACTGCTTATTAATGAGATTTTGGGCTTTTATATTGTCTTTTGTTATGACTAGTATTTGGGTACTTTTTTATATTGCCTGATATCTTGTTGTTGTAGGCTGTCTTGAGGATAGATTTTTGTAAGGCAAGTTTCAGGTTTTTGAATACATGAAAAAAAAAATCCAAGAGTTGCTGCCATGATTAGTATAGAAAGATGACAACTCTTGATTTAGGTAGGACATTGCTTCAGAATCCTGGGTCCTTTTGTTTGTTATGAACATGAAGACACTCCTTTTACCCAAAGATACCAGTTTAGTAAAATGTAGCCTGAGTTGTTTTGCCTCCTCTTCACCAAAACCACAGACCACCTTTCTGGAACTAATCAACCAACCTGGCTGGTATTCAAGCAACCTAAAATAAAACATAGAATCATAGAATCATAGAATCAAAGAGTTGGAAGAGACCTCATGGGCCATCCAGTCCAACCCCCTGCCAAGAAGCAGGAATATTGCATTCAAATCACCCCTGACAGATGGCCATCCAGCCTCTGCTTAAAAGCTTCCAAAGAAGGAGCCTCCACCACACTCCGGGGCAGAGAGTTCCACTGCCGAATGGCTCTCACAGTCAGGAATGGCTCTCACAGTCAGGACATAACACTGTGATGGCATGAGCCCATACACACCTGATTCCCAAGTGCCTCCATTCCTTTCAAGGCCTCTAAGCTCCAAATGAAGCATAGACATTCAAGTGCTGTATTCCCAACCCTCTAAAGCCTGGCAATCTGTCACGTAGTGCAAGGGCAAGGACCCCCATCTTCTCTTCTCGCTCTCCGCTCTCTTGTATTATCACTGCCATGAGGTATGAATGGGCTCTGCCTTGCTACCCACTTGCAGCTGCTGGGTGGAAACTATATCCGCTTGGATCAAATCTTTTCTTCCCATCACCCACATCTTCCCTGGGATGTGGATGCTCTGTTGCCATGGGCAGCAGTTGCAAGTAGGCGAGAAAGAAAATGAGTGTAGTTGCTGCTGCTGCTGCTGTTTGTGGCAACTCACTTAGAGCACCTAAAGGTTTTGCTTCTTTTGGCTCATCATCTCACTACTATTATTGTAAAACAGTTCTTACTTCCTCAAGATCTGCTAGCAGTACAGTGGGTATCAGCTGAGGTTTGGTTTTGGAATCGACATGGATATCAAACTTTGGATTCTTAAGTCCCAGTATATACAGTGGTGCAATAAAATGGCATCCCTTGTATAAAACATCAAAATCAAGAATTGCTTTTTGGATTTAAAAGAAATATTTTCATTCCGTGGATAGTGGAATCTCTGGATACTGCTTGTTATGTTACAGTATGTGCCAAGAACATGATGAGTTCCTCCTCTCTGCTTCCTCCACTACACAATGGAACGAAGGGGCACAAGGAAGGAAGACTTCAGATTTATCACAGCAGTATTTCAGTGCTGGCATACAAAAGGAAACCACAAGAGGGAGAGATGCCTGTCATTAGCTAAATCCCTGTGTTTTGGGCACTAGGACTTTGTGTCCCTATATTACTGCAAATCTGTACTGCTATTCTTGCATTCCACCCCCCCCCCCCAAACTAGTATCTTCCAGATTTTTCTGGCTTCTCGCAGATGGGCATTCTGGCCTGTGATTCTTCAGTGCCATCTTCTGGGTGAAGGGTGGCAGGACAACTCCCCCCCCCCCCCCCACACACACACACAAAGGATGCAGAGGATTTTGTAGGGAATGTGCTCCTGGCGGGACATCTAAGGAAAACACCAGAAGAGGTGCCCCACTACATTAAGAGGCAAAGTAGGGAGCTAGATATGAATTACAGGTGATCGTGGCCTCGGCCTCTATGAAGTGGAAATAGTATGACCTTCACTTTTTCATCTTAGCAGCTCTTGATTTAAATATTTCAATTCCCTTCCTGCTTCTGAGACAGAGGCCTTTGGTCTCCAGCTCCCACAGACCTTGCATTCCTTACCACGTGAAAGGACTAAGGAATCTTAGGCTTGTTCTGCTGGGTGGGCAGGATGGCAAAGACGTCCAGCCATCCATGCATGCGGTATCTTCCTGCTACTCTGCCCACGCTGTTTTGCCCGGTGCCTTGTCTTTGTGCAGTCTGAATGGGCCCATAGATAATGGGTTGAGTGTCCAGCTGCAGCCACCACTGCTGGACACAACAATAGGGCTTTTGCTTTGTAGGGTGACAGGAACGGTGGAGTCTGGCACTGAGGGGGCGAAGGGTTGGCACCGCCTGCTTTTGGGGGACATGGGACTGCCCACTCAGTTGGATGCAGTTCTCAAAGCCATTTTCTGCTGTTTGAAAGCTGTCTGTGGCAGAGAAGCCCTTGTGTGTAGATCCATATGTGCAAGGGGCTTTACCTACCTCTGGTCTTGGTTGTACTCTGTTGATGAGCAGCAATGCAGCAAACATCTGAAATAGCTCAAGAACTGCTGTGCCCTCTTTAACTTGTGGGTCTGCTAATGTCTGAACAAGCAGGCTGCCTTCTGCCCGAGATCCCTGCCTTCTGTGGAAGGCGAGAATGAGACATGCAGATGTTGAGGCCGCTCTCTGTGCTCCTTCACAGTGCAGCTGCTCAAGTCCACTGACCTGGGGCGCCACAGCCTGCTGTACCTCAAAGAAATTGGCCATGGATGGTTTGGCAAGGTAAGTGCCTATTGCTGATTTAAGACAGATGGATGCAAGGGTGCATGGATAAGGTGGGAGGAAGAAGTAACAGAATAGCATTGATGCTACAGATTACATCTGTCTTCCTTCTTAGCGTTCCTCTTTGATTATTGCTCACATGAGAATCAGAGTGGAACAATGTGTTCTTGAGTACAGACTACAAATGACCATCTTAATTCTGGCTTTGACCCTAGGGCATGGAAGTAGCTATGTTTTAAAATTTAAGCACCTCCTAGGCAGCATGAATGTTGAGGATTCTGGAAGCTGGGGTAATATATTAGAAGTAACTTATGGACATATGACTTGATAGTGTGTGAACTTTTAGTTTGTGCATTGACTTTATTAAGCATTTGCTTACATTGTCTTGATGCATGCAAAAACATTGCTAAGTCACTTCTGAATCATATTCTGCCATGGTAGTTGCTTAATGGAGGATTCATCTAATGGGTTAAGGCCAAGATCCAATAAGCACATTAGTGGAGTGAGAGTTTCTGCCAATATTTTACACTGTTGTGTGAGTGTGTAAGTACATCTTAGGTACTCACAGGTGTAGTTTCAATTCCTTCATTCCCAATTGGCTTTGGAAGTGCATCTTGGCAAATATTGGCTGCCCTTGAGCACCTGGGGAAGAAGCACAGCTCCAGTGTGAAGTGACTTCTCCTTCCCCAAGAGCACAGGGGGATCTGGAATGTGACTAGATGCACTTCCTGCAACCAGTCAGTGACCATGAGCAAGTATCTTGACTGTCCTCAGGCTTCTCGGCTGTTGTTGCAATACCTGGAATGAGATGTATCGTACAAGAAGGTAAAGGACAGCTCCTTTTATCATATACTAGACAAGAATGATCCTGGCCCATGTAGTGACATCATTTTATAGTAAAGGTCTAAGATCCTGATTCAGTGACTTTCCGTTTGCATGTATGGGTCTGTATGTGTGTTTCCCTCATTCCAGGTGTTCCTCGGTGAGGTGAATGCAGGGCTGAGTAGCACTCAGGTGGTTGTGAAAGAGCTCAAGGCCAGTGCCAGTGTGCAAGATCAAATGCAGTTCCTGGAAGAGGCCCAGCCATACAGGTAGGTTTACTCATGTCCTGCTTGCATTAGTAGTTTCTTAGCCACTGTGGGAACAAAAAGCAGGATTAGGGTGCCTTTGGTCTGATCTCACAGGGATCTTCTCAGTGGGAAGTCTATTGAGCCTATTAAGGAAGTCCATCCTTAATAGGATGCAGCCAGGGACTTTGATGGTTCTCATTCCCATAGCTCTCAAAATTGTCACATGTGGATACAGTCCCATCTCTTCTTTCTACGTTGAGATAATTGACTTTGCAGAATGTCTTCCATCAGTGACAAATCCTGTCTGTGCTATCTGTGCTATAGTTACATCTTTATTCATTCCTTGTAGCTGTAGTTGGAGCTCAGGGAAGAAGATGGTGGAAAACGCCTTCTATGCCATTGGTTAGAGGGTGGAAATGTATCTGAACTGTAACATCAGTCATGATGAGGAGCAGCTTCATGACTTCCTGGAACTAAGACTTAACTCCATGAGTGACAAAAAAAGATCACAACTGAATCCGCATTAATTGTGGAGCTAGAAAGGAGGAAGAAGAGGAGGAGCAGATGAAAACATAGAATTAGTCTAAGACTGCTGGTCAACTAGACCACTAGTGCTGTTGACTCCTGTGTGGCAGTAATTGCTGTCCAAGGTCTCTGAAAGTTTATTTCCTGGTCCAACTCAGCAATTCCTGCCATTCCATGCAAATATCAACCTCACTTAACTCTACTTAGCTTCTGAAACCATAAAAATTATGGTATGTCCAGAGTTATTTGGTGGAATATAGATGATGATCTACTCCTTCTCTCTTTTGCATAATTGTTCTTAAGGTAGCTTGCAATATGAAGGACAAAACTGAAAACATAATAATGGAAAATATGGTATTAAAAATTAAAAGCAGCAGGAAGATATGACTGTCATGATAACCATCATGAGAAAACAAGCAGCACAAACATTAAAAATCTTAGACCTGTGAACTAGCAGAAATATCTAAAATGTTACAAAGAGCTTAAGGAACCACAACAGAGAAAATATCTTTAGAATAAAACATAGTTCCTAAAAATGAAGAAACAACCGCCCCATTGTTCTTGGCCAAGTCGGGGTAGCTGGCACAGCTTAGGACCTATTTATCTGTTACCCATACAAGGTTGTGTCATCTGAGCCCTTCCGTATACCCTTATAAACTTATTGTTGGCTGCAGGATAGTACTGAAATTCGGAATGGTTTCAGAAATTTGGAATGGTTTCAAACTCTGGGCCTGTCTTCCAAGAACTTTTGATGTCATCTTGTATCCTTCATAGTATATTATTTGTCCAGAACAAATGATTTTGTTTCTGTGTCCCCTCAGTATGGGCTGGCACACATGAGGAATCTTGGTGAAGTCTAGAAGTTAGAGAGGTTGCAGTTTGAAATTGGGTGGGGGGAGGAGTTGACAGAGGCATAGGAAATAAGAGAAGATACAATAGTGGGAAAGCAATGAATGACTGTACTGACTCATGAAGAAACAACCTCCCTATTGTTCTTGGCCAAGTTGGGGTAGCTGGCACAGCTTAGGACCTATTTATCAGTTACCCATACAAGGTCGTGTCATCAGAGCTCTTCCGTATATCCTTATAAACCTATTGTTGGCTGCAGGATTTTGGAAGTTGTAGTCCTAAAACAAGGGAATTGGCTGACATAGCTTCAGTCTTCCCTATTCCTTGTTTTCCTAGTGATCCACAGCTGTTCCACTACCATTTCCCTCAAGGATCTTTTTAAAGCTTTCTTTGCTCTGCAGTGCTGATATTCTTTGGTCCATCCTGAGGTCCTTTGCCAGCTATGCAAATTTTCCTCAGCCCATCAACTTTGGAGACTTCCCCATGCTTGTATCCTTCTGATCCTATTCTAATTTTCTCTTTCTTCTCTCTCTTTCTCCCTCCATCTCCCTTCATTGTTCCCTCCCGCTCTTTCAATTTCTTCCATGCTTCACAGAGCGCTCCAGCACACCAATCTTCTGCAGTGCTTGGCCCAGTGTGCCGAAGTGACACCTTATCTGCTGGTGATGGAGTTCTGCCCGCTGGTGAGTCATTAATAGAGGGAAATCTCATGGCCTCCTCTCTCACACACACAGTCCTCTCCATCCATTTTTTGCTCCTGATTGCAAGCATAGCCCCTGAGCGCTGGGACATGTAAACAAACAAACTCACTGCCCAAGAGCCAACCCTATTTTAGGTTTGCATTTACTATTCCCTACAGTAGTTTCTCATATATCCACTTGCTTCACAGCATGTCTAGTTTTTTATCCTTAGAGGCTGGGTGCAGATAACATGGTTGGACTTAAGGGGCCTAAAGATTTTTATGTCTTGATGCTTCTGCTCTATGTGCTGGTGATTTAGTTCATATGTTTCCCCCTAATTTGGGCCTTCTTTGTGGCTTGGCATCAACCTTTTGACTGCATTGCAGAGATGCTTTTTCTTTCTTGTTCTTCTCCAACCCACCCACCCATTGAGACCTCACAAGAGAGGTCCCTGGGCAGTGGTGATGTAGCCATGGGTAACCCTGCTGCTGCTGCCACCCTGACAGGGTGACCTGAAGGGCTACCTCAGGAGCTGCCATGCTGCCGAAGCCCTGGCTCCTGACCCTCTGACACTGCAACGCATGGCCTGCGAGGTGTCCTGTGGCTTGCTGCACCTTCACCGCAACAACTATGTACATAGGTGAGTAAAGTATTCATAACTGGTGTCTTTCCACATTTTTACTTCAGATGTATAGGAAACTCAAGGTTTGAACCCGAAAGCTTTTATATGCAGAGGTTGTGCTCTACCATTCATCTTCTGGTCCATTGCAAGAGGAAAGTGTTGCTGTACTTATAAGAATTTAGTGTGGTGGCAGGCGCAGGCCAAATTCTGAGGCCTGGTGACTGGGCAGTGGAGGAAATGGTATTATCCCACAGAAGAAAAAAATATTGGTGTTTTGGAGTTTTCTTGCAAGATTTGGCCAGATAATATTTGTGACTGCCTTCCTCTAAGGCTAAGAAAGTGTAACATGCTCAAGGCCATCCCAGTGACTTTTCATGCCTGAAAAGGAATTCATCCCCTGGTCTCCCAGAGCCCTTGTCCAGTACACAAACCACTGCACTCCTAGGATTACCCAGTGAGATTTCATGACTGAGCAGGGTTTCAAACTCTGGTTTCCCAGAGTTCTAGTCCCAACACTCAAACCATGACAACATGCTGGCTCTCTTAAAAGAAACACAAACATTGCTTTTATGTTAAACCACTTTGGTGCCCATGATCCATTGTGGGACAGAATTGGCAAGAGCTGAGAAATGGTGATGTCAATACTTCTTGGGATGAAAGCTGTGAGCTTGGAGAGAATGTGAGCCATAAGTTACCTCAAGGCAATGTATTGTTGTGTATCATCAAGTCATTTCTAAGGCAAACTTATCCAGGAATTTGCTTGACAAGATTTGTTCAAAGTGGGGTTGCCATGGCCTTCCTCTGGGATGAAAACTGAAGTCACCCAATGGGTTTCCATGGCTGAATGCATATTCAAACCCAATGTTCAGACTGCTACTCCTGCTAAAGCCAGTTTGAAGATGCCCTGGGGGCATGTAGCATACCTTTGTGTTCATTAGGAATGACCAGCCCTGCAGCAACTTCTTTCTTCTTTCGTCTTGCCTTTCCTGGGAGTACAGGCACCAACATTTAGGTTTGCAGCAGGAAACCATTCCACCATGGATTTTTTCATCAGCTCCTGCTCTTTTCTTCTCCAGCTGCTCCTCGTCCCCAACAATATCCTGGTGCTGAGTGAGTGGCACTCAAAGACTCCAGCATCAGTGATTTTGTTGAAGAGGGTGAGCTCTGCCATCTTCTGATGACGGACAACCATTCTTCAGGGTTAAAAGAAGAGCGCTGTGGGGTGGGGTGGGAGAATCGCTGACTCAGGACATTGACCCAACCACAAAAATGTCCAGGCTTTGAAATTGTCAAGCTTTGCTAACTAAGTGCTGTGGTGTTTCACTGTACTTCTGATCTGTACAGCCTCAGGACCTTACATTGTGAATTTAGAAATGGTGAAGCAACATTGCTTCTCCATCCCATCTCTGTGTGTTGCTAGCAGCAAAATACCTGCACATCTACTAGTGACTCCTAAAGTTTGCAGTCTTCATCCTGGAATTGAGTTCAACTCAGTCTCAGTACTGGAGAAATGTAAACATTTACACACTGTTGCAGCTTTTTAGTTGTTCCTAATAAAGATACTTCCTCAAAATGGATTTTAGCAAGATAAATGTGGTTGAATTACATTGTTTCATATCATAGATTGTCCAATGAAAGGAAAAGGTAACATGACTTTGAGTGGACTATAAAGGGAAGACAAAAGAGGCAGTCACTATGGATATGTGGGTCGATGTTGGGCTCTACAGCTGCAGGAATGGTTTGAAATTGTGAAAAAAATAGGTTGAGCTTTTTTATTTTATTTCTGTTCTTTTCTCCCAAAGGAGCTGCTTAAGGTGTGAAATATTGTAAAGGCCTTGGAGAGGATCTGGGATCCTTGCTAAGTAAAGATTCCCCATTCTTGAGTCATGGAAAACTGATCATGGTCAGGTTCCATGCATGTGTGCCTGTTAAAAATGTAGGTTGTGTTCTGTGTACTAGGCTATCAAAAAACCTAAAAATGCATTGTAGAATACAGAGAGGCAAGCATTTGATGCTGGCCTGGAATTATATTGGGCCCATTGAGTAAATGCTGTAACAGAACTGGGATGAGGGAGTAGTTATGCATTTGAAAATCAGATGAAGGGTGGGTTGCTGACCACAGAATTAATCAGATGTTTTAATGATGTCAGTTGGGTCTGTGATTAATGGATGGTCTTTGAACCCCCCCCCCCTTTTGAATATAATTCATGGCACCTTTTAGTCAATACTAGTAAGAGATTTGTCAGTGTCTTGGTTCAGAAAACTCTTTAAGAGCAGATATGAAATTTTGTCCCATCAGTTCTTCCTCATTTAGTGCTTAGGCCTGATGGAGGTCACATGAATGTATGAAGTCCACTGGGCTGGTCCAGCATTTCATATCTTCTGTTGTATAAATGAAGTTGTGTGTTTCTTCTATCTAGTGACCTGGCACTGCGAAATTGCTTACTCACAGCAGACCTGACTGTCAAAATTGGCGACTATGGGCTTTCTCACTGCAAATACAAAGTAAGTCTGCTTTGGGGTAATAAGAAGGAGCATGTTCAGTGTTAGCAGTGTTCATGTAGTGGGCTTGCAAGACCAACAGTGAGGTGAGCCATCTTAGGTTGGGGGGTGCTTGGCTCCAAATGTAGACAGTTAGTAGGAGAAGAAATGGAAGGGAGAACAGAAGTATAATATATGCATACAAAGACCTGAAGCCTGGACTTCATGCAGAGTACCTGATGAGACTGCATGCTTGAGGCAGACTGTGTGGGGACTGCCAGTTCCTTCAATAAACATTGTAATATTCCTATGGCTGAGAGTGGGAGGCAAAAGGGATGGGGCATAGAGGAGCCAGCCATATTCTCCATGCCAGCCTTTGAATGCTTCCATTGTTGGCAGAGGTTGGAATTTCAATGGGGGAGGCTGGCTTGACCTGATTATTGTTTCTGTTGGTGCTGGTTTGACATGGACTTGTTTTGGCTCTGCATGCTCGGCAGGATGACTACTTTGTGACAGCTGACCAACTGTGGGTACCTTTGCGCTGGGTGGCACCTGAGCTCATTGATGAGGTACATGGCAACCTCCTTATTGTCGACCAGACCAAGACCAGCAATATTTGGTGAGAACCAAGAGAATCTTCTGTTGTGAAAAGGGATGGGAGAGGAATATCTTCTTACTCTTTTAGAAGGGCTGTAACCCCATCATGCATATGTGTGTGCGTGTGTGTACATGTGTTACAATGATATCATAATGATAAGATTATGGGGACAGTTGCCAGTTGAATAGATCTTCCTGATTTAGGATCTTGGTATTTGTAAGCAACCTATACCTAGTTCTTTATTCTGTCTGTTATGGTTAGCATGCTTATTTAGTTTTATTAGGGGGACTATTTGGGTTTTTTTATCCCACTATGTTGTCTCGTTTTCATAACTCTATCAATATTTCCATTATTAGCTGCTTTCTGTTTACCACATTGATGATTTTATTGTATAATTGCTCTGCCTAGCTTCATTTATGCCATTTTATAGAGGGTCAAGGAGCCCCTGGTGGTGCAGTGGGTTAAACCCCTGTGCCGGCAGGACTGAAAACCAACAGGTCACAGGTTCAAGTCCGGGGAGAGGTGGATGCGCTCTCTCTATCAGCTCCAGCTCCTCATGCAGGGACATGAGAGAATCCTCCCACAAGGATGATAAAAACATCAAATCATCCGGGCGTCCCCTGGGCAACATCCTCTCACACCAGAAGCGACTTGTGGTTTCTCAAGTCACTCCTGACATGACAAAAAAAATAGAGGGTCAAAATAATGGCCACAATCCAGTTGATTGGTTTCATTAAGCTGGCATAGTTGGCAGTATAGGGGCGTACATGTATGTGTATGTATGTAACCTGGTGGCACAGTGGGTTAAAGGATTGATGACCGACAGGTCGGAGGTTCAAATTCAGGGAGAGTGTGGATGAGCTTCCTCTGTCAGCTCCAGATCCCCATGCAGGGACATGAGAGAAGCCTCCCACATAGATGATAAAACATCAAAAACATTAGTGCATCTCTTGGGCAACATCCTTGCTGATGGCCAGTTCTCTCACACCAGAAGTGATGTGCAGTTTCTCAAGTCACTCCATATACACACTCATACATGCACACACAAATGGACACAGGTACTGAAATAGAGGGGGAAGAGATGGCAGCAGAAGGAATGCTTCTATTAGGAAAGTTGCCCTGCTGAGTCTTGACCTGCTTGGAAGCCATCAAGACAGATTTCCCTGCCAACAGAGACAGATTTCTCTGCTTTCTCCCTGCCACTGATCCAGAAAGTGCCTTATGCTATTTTCACAAGATTGTTGCCCACATTGCCTTTTAACTTTTGTTACTACCCTATACTTTTCCAATTATTTCTTCCATTTGTAAACCAAAAATGGTAAGGAGGAATAAGATAATATCATTGTGGAGTAACTTTTAATTGGCTTTGCTGAGAGCCCTCTACTTGCAAGCATCCTGGATCTACTAAATAATTCAATTACATGTTTTGCAGGGGCTTGCACATCTGTACTTGAGCACATCTCTCTCTGGCTAGAGTTGTGCTGTGGTACTCCATGTAAACTAACCACCACTTTCTTGGCAGGTCATTGGGTGTGACCATCTGGGAACTCTTTGAGTTGGGTGGGCAGCCCTACTGTAACTACTCAGACCGGCAGGTGCTCACCTATGCCATCAAGGAGCAGCAGCTGAAACTCCCCAAGCCACAACTCCCACTCTCACTATCTGACCGTTGGTGAGTACAGGGCAAAGAGTCCTTTTGAGGGTGGGGTGATTTCTTGGGATGGGGGAGCGGCATTGAGGAACCATAGTACTCAGAAAGTCTTCATGACCAGAGGCTGTATTTGAGGCTGGTGGGGACCACTTGGATGTGCAGATACTGGCAAGCTTTCATTAGCCCCAGTATCCCAACCTTTTTATTAGAAGGTTGCATCTAATAATTTGAAAAGTTGCATCCTATTAAAAGGACAAATCCATTACAGTTTTGTTGGATCATCACCTTGCAGGAGTGCAGGCCCTGTAGTCAGGGGTATGTAGGTGTATTTAAATGGAAAGTGAAAGATTATAGAATGGCCCAAACAGAGAGACAATGTGTCCAAAAGTTAGTATTAGACAACAGTACCACCCATTTTCTAAATCTCTCAGTGAATTAAATGGTTGACTGTTTACATTTTAAAAAGAAAGTTGAGAGGCAGGCCCTTCTTTCCCAAGCCCCTAGTTTCCTACAATCCTTGTGGGCAAAAAGTTTGATCTGCCTAATAGTCCATTCCACAGGCCAGTATAGCCTGCCCTCCAATAATTTAATACAGGATGAAGTCCTTTTGCCTTCAGTGACAGCCACTGGGTGTGAAAGTATGGCACAATTTGAGATAGAGATTATGTGCCCTTGCAAAACCTATTCTTTCCATCAGCACATGACATAGAGTTGCAAAGGACCTCCTAGAATATGAAGACTAACAAGGCCAAAACTTGCAAAAGCATGTAATGCTGAGAAAAAGAAAAGATAGACAAGAGGCTCCATCTGTAGGGAGTGCTTTAATTGTGTTTTCCTGCATGGTAGTGGGTTGGATTGGATGGCCCTTTGTTTGTAGTATCTTCCAACTTTAGGACTATAGGAGCAAAAAGGAGATGTTCTACAGTATATGGGATCGCCTTAGCAAGGACCAAGCTGTGGGACTGCTAGATAAAGGTCAGCTTTGGAAGAGGGGTATTGGCCTAGGGAGCAACTGGACAGCAGTTCACTCCCATTCTCTTCTCTGTGTCTGCAGGTATGAAGTAATGCAGTTCTGCTGGTTGCAACCAGAGCAGCGCCCCACTGCTGAGGAAGTGCACCTCCTGCTGTCCTACCTATGTGCCAAGGGTGCCTCAGAAGCAGAAGAAGAGTTTGAGCGACGCTGGAACTCTATGAAACCTGGTGGTGGTGGCTCAGGCTCAAGCCACATGGGCATTGAGCTTTCATCCTTCCCACTCCTGGAGCATTTCTCCAATGATGGTGATGATGTCCTGACTGTCATGGAGACCAGCCACGGTCTCAATTTTGAGTACAAATGGGATCAAGGCAAAGGCGACCACTTGCCAGCTTCAGCTATGAGTCCCCGGGGTGCTGCTCGCTACCATGAGCTTTATTATTCAGCCAGTGGCAGCAGCGGGGGTGGTGGTGGGCAACTCAGCTTGGGGGTCTCACCCTCCTGCTATGAGTGCAAAGTGCAAGGCTGCCCAGGCCTGCATACACCAAGTGTAGTGCCTGTGTTGAGTGCCCACAGCCCCTCCCTGAACAGTGAGTACTACATCCGCATCGAAGAGGCAGCCTCCGAGGGCAGTGGGGCCGACCTTGACTACACCATGTGTTCCTACAGCCCAGAGTTTGGCCGCTCTTCTCACTGGCAAGCCAATGAGGGCCACTATGAGTCAAACAGTAGCCCCACTGTTTCCCTCACCATGGAACCCCTTCTGGGCCACTCAGCACATGCTGAGAGCATATGGGAACCCCCTGACTATTACTCCTATGGAGGACCAGGGGACAAGGAGGTCCTATATTATGAGGCCTCCCCAAAGGGCTGTGCTGAGAACTACCTGCTAAAAGAGGCTGGTGCCTCTGAGTGGCCCATCCCATCCTTGCAAAAAGGCATCTTTGCAGACCCACTGGGTGTCTCTCCCTCAGTGACCTATACCTATAAGGATAGCGTTTCAGAATCAGTAGCTTTGGAAATTGGGGAAGAGGAGCAAGAAGATGAAGAGGAGGAGGAAGAGGAAGACGAGAGCTCAGGTGACAGTCCCAGGAGCAGAAGTGGTAAGAACGGTGAGTCGCCTTCCTCCAACAAGCATTGGACATCTAACACCTCAGCCAGTAATAACAACAGCCACCCACTGTCCCCGTGTGAACTGCCAGCTAATGATAGTTGGTGCTATAGACACATGATCACCTTTCAGGGGCTTATGGCCGAGCCACTGTGCACAGTGCCAAGAGAGGAGCCGACGCTAGGAATCAGGGACCTGCGAGCAGCCCTGCTGGGTGAGGAGCATGTGCCATCATCTCACACAGGCTCCCCTTGCCCTGACATTGATTTGCCTAAAGAGGGTAAGACATCAGCCCAGGTTGCCAGCACAGAGATGGGTGCAGAGGACTCAGCAGAAGATCCCTTGACAGAAGTTGGAGTGAAATGCCAGCAAGACAGCATGCCGCCATCAGAGGAAAAAGATCTGGTTGCAGCAGAATCACCGTTGCCATTGTCTACACCAGATCCTGCCCACAGTTCATCGGCTGAGGTCACCACTTTGCCAGAAGAGTTAACAAGTGATGTGCCAATAGCTGGAGAAAACCCAATAGTTGTAGAAGAGGCTTCATCTGAACCTCCACCCAAGGTGTTACAGGACATTAATCTAGAAAGTGGCAAGAGTACCTGCAGTGAACAGGACAGGACACCAGACAAGACTGTTTCAAGCACTAGCTTCCCTGACTTAGATGAGGGCAGTGATGATGATGATACGGCTGAGCTCACATCTGGAGTCTTCACAGACTTCTCAGTTGACTGTACTGAGCGGCAGGATATAATGCCCACCTTCAAGTCCTTGCAGAAGCAGGTGGGGACTCCTGACTCCCTGGAATCATTGGACATTCCTTCTACCACCAGCTCCTGTGAAGCATTCAGCCCTACAGCCTATGTGCCCTCAAGCCAACCAAAGGCCCTGGACAGTGGCTATGACACAGAGAACTATGAGTCACCTGAATTTGTCCTTAAGGAGCCTCATGAGTCACGAGATCCTGAGTCTTTTCCCCAGGTAGGGATGACCCAGAATGACAATGGGGTGGGCCAAGCCAAAGAGCTCAGCCTCTCTGATTCATTTAGCACCGGACTGCAGGGCCTGGATGAGAAAAACCCTTACCGTGACTCAGCCTACTTTTCTGACTATGATGCTGAGGGGGGGACCAGGGAGGATGGTGAAGAAGGGGACAGTGATGGTTCTGAAGGGCATGAGCCAGATGTCTCCCAGGTACACATCAAAGCATTGGGTAAGAGCCTTGACCAAAATGGCCCTGAAACTCAGTCCCCTTCTCCTCCTGAACCCGCTTGCCCAGATAGAGACAGCATGGAATGTATGTCTCCAGTGACTAAGGAGCAGGGTACAAGAGAAGGCGCCAGTCCCAGTTTGTCACAAGAGGTGTTGGCAAATGGAGTGATTGTAGAGGAACTGGACTCAAAGTTGCCTAAGTGTAAAGATGAGGGGACTGTCCCTGTACCCCAAACATTGACCTCTAGCAGCAGGTCCTTCTACTTGTCACCTGTGGTTGTAGATCCAGTGGTACCTACTGTGGTGGGTGATGAGGAGGGTGGAGGGGTAGGGAAGGCAGGACTGGAAAGTGCCTCAAAGGATGTGGAGCACCCTGAGGAAGTGGCACAAGGTGTTAACAATCAGGAAGAGCCTCAGAACAGCACTGGGCTCTCACTAGACTTGTCCGTTGCACCATCCCAACCTTCATCTGTCCCTGCTGACCTGGAGGAAGAGGACGAGGACACAGAGGACAGTGATGAGTCTGATGAGGAGCTGCGATGCTACAACATCCAGGACCAGAGTGAGGACAGTGAGGAGGACTCACCCACTGTTCCCATTGTGGTTGCTGAAAGCCACAGTACCCGCAACCTGCGTAGCCTGCTGAAGATGCCCAGCCTGCTGGTGGAGACCTTCTGTGATGACCTTGAACGCAAGAAGAAAGCTGTTTCCTTTATTGAAGATGTCACTGTCTACCTCTTTGACCAGGTGATTTGTTTTTGTGGGTCTTGCTGGAGAGCAAAGGAGGATGGGAATTTACCAGAACATCCCCTATCTCCCTAAAAAAAGTAATGCAGGAAAGTGTTAATCTATATAGATATGCATATTCATTCATATATCCTATAAGGGCTAGTGTAAGTAAACTTTAATCTTCACCTAACAGGTAGGCAAATATTGGACTTGTCTAGAAACCCTCAAATTTGTGAGCCAAAAAACAATTGGAGAAGAAAAGTGTTTCTTTGAAGTTTTGACCCATTACATGTTGTCAGTTCCAGATCTGAACTGAATCCACACACTTTTCACACAAAAGCTCACTCCTGGTTGTTTTGTGGGGAAAATAATAGTATTGTTACTGCTGTTAATTTTTTTAAAGACCTGTTTTATTAGATACAGTTAAAATTAAAATCTTTCCTGCTACTATTTAAACAGTTGGGAGTCCTGAACCCTTATGGATTGTGAATCACCAAAAGTTAAATCCGTAGATCTGCATCTGTTTCCTACTCTAAGCATACAAACCTCGACTTTAATCTTAAATCTCACAATCACTTTTTTAAAAAAGGGACAGATCCTAAAGTATGGCAAAGACCCAGATGTCTTTTGGCTAGAGAGCGGTGGCAATGTAGAGGGAAGAAGAAGGAGTGAGGACATTATGTAAATCACAGCCTCTGGGAGTGGAAAGTACCAGGCCAATGGGCAGCACATGGATTACTGGGAGGGAAAGGGAATAATGTTGGTTGTAGACATCCTGGAAATGTGTACATGGTTGTCATTAGCTCTGTCATGTCCTTCTGTGCACAGGAAAGCCCCACGAAGGAACTTGCGGAGGTGCCCTTCCCAGGGGTGACAGAGCCTCCCATGGCATCAGTCCCTGAGCAGAAAGAGAGCAATGGTTCTCCAGGCCCAGCAGTCAAAACCAGTACTACACCCAATGGCAGCAGCTCCTCCTCAGAAGGAAGCACCTCTGAAGAGAGTACAGGTAGGATTCAGATGGGGGACTGAACATGGCTGTGGGAGATCCCAAACCCCTATATAACCTGTGTGGACCATTATCCATGTTGCCCTCCCCCTTCTCTTAGCCCAAAACTACATGGCGGTTCAACTCCCTCTGTTTTTGGGAAAGCTAAAAATCCAAACAGATTTAGTAGGGAAAGTTCAAAGGGGAGGTGTGCTCACGTGGCAAACTACTCAAACTCCACAGCTGGGGCCCGGAGTGGGTGTCCAATTAAAGTTGCCACTGCCAATATAACAGGAGCCCCTAGAGCGGTGGTTCTCAACCTTTAGGTCCCCAGGTATTTTGGCCTACAACTCTCAGAAATCCCTGCCAGTTTACCAGCTGTTAGGATTTCTGGGAGTTGAAGGCCAAAACACCTGGGGACCCACAGATTGAGAACCACTGCTCGAGAGGATCAAAGGACAGTTCTGTCTGCCCAAGCATCCCACATTTTTCAGATGTCATCACCTTCAACACACATATGCTAACTGACCCAGGCATAATGGGGGTTGCAATCCAGACATTTAGAAGTCTGCTGCAAAAGAAAAGTTCTAGAACCACCTACAGGTGTTTTGGACTCCAACTCTCAGAAGCCCATGAAAGTCAGGAATTCTGGAGGTCAATTCTAAAAGATCTGGAGGACCATAATTTTGGAAGCACTTGCCTCTTGCTGGGGCTTTCCCAGAAACTGAATTCAGTATGACATGTTGCCTCAAACCCTGGACCGCCCACATAGCCACAATAACACCACTGGGTATTTTAGATCCATCCTCCCTGAATGCCTATCATGTCTCAGTTGCTATCAGTCTTTCGCACTCAAAATACTTCTCTTCTGGCCTAGCTAACATCCTGACCTGACACTCGTGCAGTTACCATTTGAGAGTTGAAAGGATCTTTTGCTTTTCTTGATCTCTGTATGGCATTTCAGGCTTTCTTCGAGGCTCCTCTATGCTGGGCTTCAAAAAGCAGCTTACTCTTTTCTTTTTGGCCACTAGAGGGGAATAGAGTGGCATTGCACATCTGTAGCTTGTCTTATTGGACTACTACTCCCACACCTAGTGTCTTTATTTTATTGAGTGCAAGGCACTCCTTTATCTTTGGAAAAGCCTTCAGAGCATCAGCCTGAAAGAGAAAGTGAGGGCGGGAGGAGCTGGCAGAAGTGGCGCTGTGGCTTTTATGGTGTATTGGAGTCTTGCACCTACTCTCCCATGACCTGGCCTAGTGCTATAATCACCATATCACTCTGAAGCTATAGGGAACTCTGTAAGACAGTGTGTGCTGTGCATTGATGGCCAATGGAGGCCAACAGAACACTAAAGACAAACTAGTCCCTCACTATGCCTCTCTTTTCCATTCTAAGCTGGTGGGTTTGAGTGGGAAGACGACTTCTCACTCATGCCGGTGAAACCGTCTGTCATGTCATCATTGTCATCAGTGGCACCTGAGCCTGCCCTCTCCGGACTGCCCTCTACACTTCTACCCGCTCAGAAGCAGGTGCTGCCCATCCAGTTTTCACGTTTCACTGTCTCACCTGCCCCAGCATCTCGGTTTTCAATCACACACGTCACTGACTCAGACGTCGAATCTGTAGCAGGTAAGGTGCATTTGGAGTTCAGAGGATCAAGAAATATTCTGATTGTGGAAGATCAGAAACAAGAAGATTCTATCATTAACCCACTGTTCAGTTTTCTTGATCCATTTGGGAGTATTTTGGGGAACAGAACATGCCATGGATCCAGCTCTCCCACCAATCAGACCCCTTTGACCTGACTGCTGATAGAGAAAGGCAGCTAAGGCCCAGTAAAGTTAAAAATCCTATCATTAACCCACTATGCCTATCAAGTGTGCTGTATCTGAAAATTGTTTTCTTCATAAAATACTCTTTGTGATTCTGTGCAACATAAATGGTCAGCTGTGACCCTCCAAGATAACAGTATCCTTTATCCAAAATGCCTGGGGCCAGAAGTGTTCATGAAGATGAGATCCATCTAAACATGAAATTCATTTATATTTTATATGCACCTTATACACATAGCCTGAAGGTAATTTTATTCACATTATTTTCAATGATTTTGTGCATGAAATAAAGACTGGACATTTGCCCATTGGAAAGCAAGAGGGTTTTTTCATGTCAGGAGCAACTTGAGAAACTGCAAGTCACTTCTGGTGTGAGAGAATTGGCCATCTGCAAGGACATTGCTCAGGGGAGGCCCGGATGATTGATGTTTTTACCATCCTGTGGGAGGCTTCTCTCATGTCCCCACATGGGGAGCTGGAGCTGACAGAGGGAGTTCACCCTGTTCCCCAGATTCGAACTGCAGATTTTTTGGCCAGCAGTCCTGCTGGCGCAAGGGTTTAACCCATTGTGCCACTGGGGGGTCCCAGAAAGTAATACCCATGTGAATAATTTCAGATCTGGCGGTATTTTGGATTATGAATAAAGGATCTCCAACTTGTTTCTATATGTGACCATTCTTAATCCTGGGAAGGATTTATGGGAACTGTGGGATTCAATGCTCTGGTGAAGCAAAGCAAGGAGTGGGGCTCCCAACACAGATGGGCACACAACTTCTGGAAGACAAAACACTTGAAGAAAAGGCTGTAGGCTATACAGTGCCACCTGCTAACTCTGTCTCCTCCCTTTTCTAGGCAGCAGTGAAAATGGTGACAGAGAGTGAGTGCAGCCACCTATCTCCTTTTGGACTTCTCATCTTGCCCCTGCCCCCTGCTCTGCCCAGCATTGGTTTCTGCACTGGGGCAAAGGAGTCGGGACAGCGGCCCAGAACCTGGATGAAGTAGAAGAACTCTGTGGGTCTCCCGCTCTTATTTTTTTAAGAGGCAGATTTTATTGGATGGACCTTGACTACTTTGAGGCTGGAGCTGCCCTGCCTTGCAGTGGTAAAGATGGTTTGTGATGAGCGTGTGGATGTGAGAGTGTGTGCGTGCGTGTATGTATGTACAGGTAGGCATATAATACCCATATAGCATTTAAAGGGTAGATCTTTGACCTCGCTAATACTGCTGGCCCACCACCTGAGCTATTTTTGGCACCCCTTGTCTCTGTAACTCATGACTCTTGATGTTTTGATTCACATTAGCTTCCCACATTGAGGCATTGCCTTGGGACATACCACCTCTTGCCTATTGTGTAAACTTGCCATGTCTTTTTTTTCCAAACCCAGGGTGAGATTGAGATATCAGAGATTCATCCTTGTATCTTGGCCATGTAGGTAGTTTGCAGTCAAGCAGGAGAGAGAACAGTAGGCAATAAGCCAGGAGCACTCTGGTGTCCTGGTCAGTGTTAGGTATTGTTTTAACTGGAGGGGTGAGGGCGAGGGAATGGACACTGTAGCCATTTGCCTCTTTTTGTTGCCCACCCCCTCTGTATAAACATTTGTCACCTGCCCCATGCCATTTGCCCAATTGTAACACAGTTGGGACACTTGCCCTTTGGGGGTTTTCCATTCACTTTGTGAGCCTTGCTTAGAGACTGTTCTCCCCGTTTTATTTACTCAGCTGCAGTAAATGCCACCACCTCCACATTTTGGCCAAAATCATTCTGAGCAGCACAGCAGCTGTGCCTTAATGGTCCCCTCCCCAGCATGCCCCCTTTTACCAACCCCAGCCTCAAGAAACTTGCCTTTTTGTGGAGGTGGCATGGATAGGAAGGAAAAGGGGAATGTAAAGAAATAGCAGGTCAGCTTGCATTAATGGCTCATTGGCTGGGATGAACTGTGTGGAGCTGGGATCCTCTTGTCTACCCCTACCCGCGCAATTACTCCCATCCCAACCCTCTCCCTAGTATTATTTAGGCGGCACCCTTCCTGGCGAGTCAAAGAGTGTGCCCCTGGCAGGCGGCAGGATGTCCGTCAGCCAAGCCTCGTGCTGTGGGGAGAGACTACTGTTTCCCTTTGTAACTCCTATATAGTATTTCCCATGCAGGAGTAGCCTCCTGAGAAGATGTGTAGCAGAAGCAGGTCAAACTGCCACCGGGACTATTTTTGTATAAAAATTTACCCACCGCTATATCACCTGCCCTAACAGAGTGGCGGATTTAAGTTGTTGTTGCCAAAGAGATGTAAAGAATTAACACTTTTATCTTGGCGTCTGGGGGGGGGGGGGGGAAGAGAGTAAAAAGCAGATGGGGGAGAGCTTGATTGTTTTTGGGTTTTTTTAGTTCTTAAATTTTGATTAGTTTTAAGGCTTAGGATAATTGTGCAATTTGAATTAGGATAGAAAAGGAAAAGGCTGAGAGGAGAATTGCACTCGGGGGCTGTAGCCTTTTGAACTGTAGACCATAACCTGCTGGCTTTCAAACTCAAGGAGCAAACTGAGAGAGAGGGCTGTGCCATTCTTCAACAGAACTGTCTCAGCGTGCAATTTTCTGTGTTACCTGTCTTTGCTATTGCCCTCTCACTTTGGTGGCTGCTTTTCCTCTCGCCTTCAGTTGATGGACACAAACGGGCATAATGATGCACTTTAATATTTACATGCGCACACACACATCTACTTGCATGCCAGCCAGTCATCTCCATCAAATGGTGCTCTCAGTTTACAGTGGTAACGGTGGCATTAATATTTTCCTTCTTCTTGACTTTTCCTTCCTCCATCACAACCATCAATTTTAGTCAGCTCTTCAAAATTTGCTTAGTAAAAGGCTGTATTCCTAAAGACAATTGCCATGCCTCAGTGGAACTCACTCCTAAGTAAATACTTTTGGGAGTCATGCTGGTAGCTTCTGGTAGTTCTTAATTCTTCATATCTGCTGCACCAGGTAAGATATCAAGAAATAGTAATGCTAAGGACTCTCTGACTTAAGTTTTGCCTTTTATTGGGACACCTCTGTACTCCATGTTTTTCCATCTGGTTCTTCTTGTTCAGCCTGGAGCACTGGGCCAGGATTCACTGAACAAGGCAAGGATTCCTGGTTGATTTCTGGATTGAAGACGGGAGACTGAATAGGAAAATGGCAGCATTTGTGGTCTTCTTGCTAGTGTAGAAAAGGGAAGGAAGAGGGGTCCTTAAGACACATTGTAACCTCTCTTTCCAGTGCTCAGCTGTGCAAGGAGATTGTGGCTTCTGTAATGACTACTCAGTAAGAGAAACAAGGACCTATTTTACAGTCATTTAAGGGCATCACACATGTGAATGAGCACTTCTGGAAACAACATTCACAGAGTGCCCTCCACTCTCCAGTGGAACAGGGATTTGAAAATAGCCAGGAAACAATTACAATTTTTTTTTTCAGGATTGTAATGTCCCCAAAATTAGTGGTTTAACAGGGACAAACTTTTAAGGGGCAGCTGTGTCGTTTTTCTTTGTTTCTATGCTTTGTGGATATAATTAGATATGTGTTGTATCCAAGTTGCCCTGACCTCATCTTGTGCGAATTTATAGTTGCCAACATAGATGCCAGTCAGTGCAGAGCTGGGATCAATTAAAAACTATAGGGAGAAGAATAGTCACACAGTGTCCTTCCATCTGTTTCTGGTTTAGGAAACATCTAGAGATGCAGCAACTATAAGTAAGCAATCTGGAGAGGCTCTTTCTGGGAGCTTCAACTGATCTGAATTGCTGAATTGCATTCTGTTCCACCCCCAGCATCTTTGTCAACATATTGTTGCCTAGGAGCAAGTTTTAGTACCTGCTGCATTCTTGCAGCCAAAACCAAGTCAGAGACTTTGGCTGTTGAAAGAGGGAAGGGAGGTGATGCTTTAGCCTGAAACACTTTTAGCAATATTCTCTGGATTGAAGACGGGAGACTGAATAGGAAAATGGCAAATTCTCCCAAAATTCTCCCAAAAAACCGTTTTACCATAGTTGGGGGACCATCTGGGACAGCTGGAACACTGCTCCCTTCCATGCAGCACTGCTGCTCTGAGCACATCTTTGCTCAAGGGCAGTTTCTACAGGCTGAAGAAAAGCTAAATCCATGTTTGTTCTAGAATGGACACCCCCATTCATTTTTGGTTGGGCATATTGCTGCTCTTCCATTTCTCTATGTCTTTGTTCTGTGCTTAAAAGGTGTCACAATATCAGATTTTTTTGGAAGGCACAGAACAGCAGTGCATCATTATAGGTCTGCTTAGTGCGGCTCCCTACCCCACTTTTCAGGAGAGAGAAGATGGGGAGGGGGGGAAGAGAAAAAGACATTTGTGTGATGTTGAAGGCAGTTGGAATCCTGTTACACATCTGACCTTCATCTCAACTTTAATACTAATTTGCTGCATATATCATTTTAAACATTTTCAAAAGTTTTTTAAACTTTGCATTAAATGACTTTTTATCTACATTCATTTATTAAAAAATGAACCACGACAATTTCAGGAAAACAACATTTTCATTCCATTTTTAAATGTTAAATGTGATGCCAAAGAAAATACTTAATTTCTTTGGCAATCCCCTATCCTCTATCTAGTGTGGATGAGACAAAGGGTAAAATGTGTAGGCACATAAAAGCATGCCCCATCCAAAATAGGGAAATTCTTTTGTGTGGCCTGCAGCAGAAAAGTTGTACAAAAAATCACCAGTGACTGAGTTATGCTAAAAGCTTATGGTCTGGAAGTACCTTACAGTACAATCTACTCTAAAGAAGCCCCACTTGCTTATCAGATTCATACAGGTTTGTACTAAGACTGCATTCCTATGCACTGTTAGCTGGAAGAAAATATCCTTGAATGTAGTGGGGCTCCTTAGTAGACATACATACCAGAGAGTCAATATTAACTATTAATGTTATTATATTATAATTTCAAAACTATTAAGTTTAAAAATTTTCAAAAGTAATTAATTAGAATTGTTGCTTCAAAGCACCACCTGTAATAGCTTGCTGCTACAACTGATTTTTTAAAGAAAGTAGTTTGTTTGAGTAGCACTAAAAGCCCATGTTCTAGAGACAGAAGTAAATAGTAGACACATCTAAATCCTCCAAGAGCACGAGCTCATATTGGAACCATGTTGTAGTCCTCTTTTGCGATTTAGTGAGGCTGTATCTTGTAACTAAAAGGTTAGCATCATGACAAAAAGAGTGAATTTACATTAATTTGTGGTGATAATGTAAGTTAATTATGCCATCCCCTGACCTTAAGTCCAGTCATGTCTGACTCTGGGGTGTGGTGCTCATCTCCATTTCTAAGCCGAAGAGCCAGCGTTGTCCGTAGACACCTCCAAGGTCATGTGGCCGGCATGACTGCATGGAGCGCCGTTACCTTCCCGCCGGAGCGGTACCTATTGATCTACTCACATTTGCATATTTTCGAACTGCTAGGTTGGCAGAAGCTAGGGCTGACAGCGGAAGCTCACGCCGCTCCCCGGAATTGAACCTGCGACCTTTCGATCAACAAGCTCAGCAGCTCAGTGCTTTAACCCACTGCGCCACCGGGGGCTCCAATTATGCCATAGCTACTGCCAAAAAGAACTTAATTCAAATATAAATATCGATTTACATGTAAGATGCAGCAGCTTATTTCTTATGGTGAATTGCTGCAACTGTTGAACTGATTTTTATGGTTGGGTTTCTGAGCATTGGGCATATCCAGCATTTATTTGTAATTGAACAGGTTTGTCTGTGTTCTCTGTGGCTTTGGAAAGTCCTATTTTCATGCTACATAAGGCCACATGGAGGATTCTGCCTTACATCATTAGAGTGATATACCAATCATCTATCCATACTAGTGTGGTTATTAAAATTGCCCATACAAACCATCTATGAATACTTATTAAGGCTTTGTATGGACGGCTCCATTAAGCTTATGGAGGCTACCACACATCAAATATGGATAGGCTCCCAGCTGCAGAAGTAAGCTTCCTAGCATTTACTTTCATGTAAAAACAAAAATTGGCAGTGTCTGACAAATCCTCAAATGAGGGAGTGATTTGTAATATTTCTGGTAAGACTTCTAAGTGTTTGAAAATAGAGGATTCCAGTGCCCTTTCCCATCACTATTAATGACTACTAGAAGCAGAATTCGAGACAGCTGGAAAAAATCTCAGGCAGTCCTGAATATTTCTAACACTTTAAGGAAGAAAAAGAAAGGCAGCATTTCTGATTCTTCAGAATGTATTGTGTTGTGCAGCTTATGGTTTCTTTGATTTGTTGTGTCATTGTGGTACTCAGCCTATTGTTCCTAGCTTCAGTTCTCACATGTGGGAAGTCAGGCACAGCTGAGCAAAGCTTTTACTACAGAAGCTCCATTTTACTCCAAAGAGCTATGATGATGTTAGTCCTCATGGCTGACTCACATTCTTTTGTTCTCACCAAACAACACTGGTCCCTTCAGCCCTAGTGAATAATAGCAGTTGTAGAAATGGATGGGTGGGCTGTGAGTGTATTTTCCGTAGTTCTATCATGGAGGAAGGCCAGGTGAAGGAATAAGGTGGAAAGAATAGGGTGCAGTGGTCAGACTGTCTCTGTCAGGCCTTTCATTGTAATTGGCAGCAACAGAATAGGCCTTGCAAAATAAATTTATTGCTTTAATGGTGTGATCTGCCAGAGACACAGAAGCTAGCTTTTTCTTGGAACAGGATAAAAATGTCTGTTTGATGACTACAGTACTTGCACTGCTTGGTGAGCCAGAAGGTCAAGCTGGGAATGCCTTTACCAAAGTTGGCTGCAAAGCTATGGAGCCTGCTGGATGTGGTATTAGCCTTCTTGTGTGTAAAGAACATGCCTCTGACCAATTTTTTGATCCAAGAGCCCTTTCTAGACTGGTGCACTTAAGTCCTAATGGTACAGGCAGAGGAGGTTGCAAAAGCCTTTCACTTTGGAAAAAAAACTACAAAGCATCTGTGCAGAAAAAAGTGGGTGGAAATCAAACATCACTGCCTATAAAGAGCTTGTGCATATTTACCTCTGAGAGCAAGTTATTCTAGACCCAATATCCATAGCAAAAGAATAGCCATTGGCAAAAAAGAGAAAAATGCATTTCCAAACAGATACATTCATCTGCCTGCATGCCTTCTGGTGAACTGAGCAGATAACGTGCCAACAAGCACATTCATTCTTCCTTATTCCACCACTGGGAGGCATTTGGACAGAGAATCAGCTGCCGCAGCCAGGGATGAAATCATTACAACTCCAGGCACACTCTATGTATCTGTTTGAAGCAAGGTTTCAGGAAGCTCCACCAAAGAAAATTGGGCCTTGCACTGCAGAATAGCCCATACAGTTTTCTGACCTTGATGGGGCAAATACAACAGGTTGTGTCCATTGGCCAAGCTGTCCACCATGTCTCTATGCCATGGAAAACCATTGGAAAAAAGATGGGTGCAGTTGGGTGCTTCTGTGTTTATTTTTGCAGGAGTGATGGCACTGCCATAGGTACATGTGTAGTGTGGGGAGTGCTTTTCCATTCCAAGTTTTAAGAGAAGCCATTGGATACATTCCCATCACTCCACCTGAGATGGCACAGCAGTAAGATGAGGAGCTTCAGAGAGGGAAAGGTGCAGTGAGTTCCACAGAGAGCAGCTCCAGGGACTGGTCATTACTAAGCATCTTCATCATTGCTTGACACTCCATTGCATTCCTTTTGGCACTGGACCTAAACAGGAAGCTCCTAGAGGTACGTGGTCTATAGCATCAAAACGATTTCAGCCCCCAAGTGACTGCATGAGAACATGAGCTAGAGCTATGTTTTGGTTTACGTTTTTCTTTATTTAAAAAAAAAGTGAGAAAGAGAAAGAGGCGCTATTTATAGTGTATATTTTATTGATACGGGTCATAATTGCTGTATTTTTTATCAGTGCTGATTTCCATACAGCTCCCAGCATGTGTGTCAAATACCATTGGTCCAATAACAACAACGACAACAACAACAAAAATAAAACATTTTTAAAATAAAAACAATAAATCTTTACCTGTGCTCATCTGATATCTACACTTGGAAGCCAGCATGATATATCAAAACTACAGGTTTGTATATGGTCTTAGAGCAGCGGGTGGAATGATGAATGGTGGATCATTCAACATTGCAGTTTAGGCTTGGATGTAAGTTTAGAGGCTACTTTCTTGGCAAGGATTCTCACGCTTCAGAATTCAAGAGCAGTGAGTCTCACGAAGCCTCCCAGCTTGTGTTGGCCTGGAGGTCTCAGCAGCCTAGGCATGAATAATGAAGAGTGCATCCACAATTCCTGCCCACAACAGACAGCAGAGCCAAATAAGGAAGCAAAAGGATGGAAGCATGAAAAGCTGCATCTCCTGGAATTAAGAGGTAACTGAATAAGATTGTCCCTTCCAACTCTGGGGATCTATACTGGGGTTATGGATGGTGTGGAATGAATTAAAAACAGACATTTTTCAGAGCTGCATCTGATTCCAGGTGTCCTAAATTTGTTCTTGGGAGAGAATTCTGGCCATAGAACACAGTGCCAAGTATTCACTGGTGTACTGACTGAATGCTGTTTAACAGAAAAGGATGACCCATGGGAAAATGAGGTCGTGGCTTTTTTATTTTAAAAAACTCTTGTCTGGGGCAGGCATCCCATTAGGCAGAATGCAAAAGGTGTTTGGTTATGTCATTAGGAATACCCCAAAGCCATACATGTCTGGTTTTGAGGGGGTCCAACACTGAGGTCTTGTGAATGGGGTAACCTGGGGAGATAATTTATCAGAGAGTGGGGGAAAGTGGCCATGGTGTTAGCACTGCTAAACAGCCTGATCAGATGTGGAGCTCCTGTGGGCACATGATGTAGTATACCAGTTATTTCATATTTTCAGTTATTTTGCAGCTCCAGAG